ATTATTGAGTCTCAAAATTATTCAAGAAAGCTGGACAGGTGGCTAGAAGGAACAGTTGCAAGTAAAAAGTAAATACATGACCCACTTATTCAAAAATTCTAGAGAAAGGATGATACAAGCAGTGACCATAATCTGTTCAATTATTGAAGATGATGTAAGCAGTGACGTTAAACTGCTCAACTATTAAAGAAATAATCATCACCCATGACGATTTATAACATTTAAAATCTCTATATAATGGAGGCTTCTCTCCAATAAGAGGCAGAGTCTTTCGTCCCTCTTTCTTTCTTTTCTTTCTCTGGTGTAAATTAACGTGTGTCAGCCACTGCGGCTAAGTTATGGACTTCTTCCTCAAGATGTCTGTAAGTTTTTATTTTAAGCATGTACGATCTTTTATTTATTTTTTGTCTTATGAATGATAATATTATTATATTTTGCTACATATTTTTGTTCTGGTTACGCTTAGCGTAGGAAACAAAACTAAAGTTATGTTCTACATCTCTGAAGTAATCATGTAGAATTATGGTCTGAATAGGATATATATGATCTTGTCGAGCTTTTATCTTCTTTAGAAATTCACGAAGAAGAACATTGAAGAAGAACATGATATGAACTAGAGGTGTATGGATCAAACACTAGAATAGGAATAAATAACTTAATATAATAATTTTATCATAATTAAGAAGGAAGCGTAATGGACTCTCTTGCTTATAATAATCTGCAAACAGATTGAGGAAGATCTTTTTAAAAAAATGAATTCTAAAAAGAAAGAATCGATGAATATGGAAACAGAATTAAGAAATATACAGGAAAGTTTAGAAAAAGTAAAAGTAAATGTTAATAAACATAATCGTCAAACGAGTGACGAAAAATCTCGAAAGCCTGCCTCTTTAACTAGGACATCTTCAAATTATCGTGAAGTTTTTGAAGAAATAAACAAAAATTATAAAAAATATGAAGCACTTCGTAAGGAATAAGGTATTACATATAATTGTCCAAAACATAAAACGTGTTTATGTACAGAAAATTAATCTTATGAATAAGATTTTTCTTCATATGTAACTCAGATTAAAGAAGAAAAAAAGTTAAAAAAAAAATTTACTATTTGGCGATTTTATAGATAATATAATAGAGATGTTGAATGATAAACAAACCATATCTTGAAAATGAATTTAATCGTATTTGTGAGTTATTACAGATAAATATTAAAAATAATCAATTAGAAGTCTTTAAAAAAGAACAAATATTTCATATAAAATGTCCGCTAGGAAATTGTAACGAATGGATAGTTATAAGCTACATGATATTAAAACAACAATTGATATTAAAACACAATTAAAGTTAGGATTATATTCTGAAATCATAACTAATGAACAACTCGTCAATTTATGGAATTAAATCAAAATCAATTCGAAAAAATTAAATTATTTAAAAATATAATTCAAAGCAGATATAAAAAACTAGCTCATATTGAAAGCACTTCTAATATACACGACATAGAAATAAGAATAATACAAAATCAATAAATTTTAAATAGCAGTATAGCAACAACAGTCATCCTAGAAGAATGTTGTAATTTAGAAAAATTTTACTCAAATCCTAAAATTCTGGGATTGACAAATATTTAAAGAAACATTCAAGGTTCTATTTGATTAAATGAAGTCATCAATGTTAGCGAACCTTCTTCTGAAAACAAAATTAAAAACTTAATCAATACTCTGACAGAATATCAATTTATGAAAAATCCAATAAATTATCCTTTTGTAGATACTCCAATTCCTATCTCAAATGAAGCCAACACTAGTTCTAACCCAACTAACACAAATACTATATCCCATTTTAACCAATTACCTCCTAGTGTTAAAAGAATTCCAAGTCCGAGATCAACAAATAAATCTATTAATAATAAACAAAAAATACCTAATAATATACCAGAACCTATTAGTGGTCACGGAGTCTATTTAAATATTGATTGTTATAAAAATATAAATCAAATAATAGACAAATGGGTAATACAAAATAGTTTAGCAATATATAATTATAATTTAAAAGGAGAAGACGTATATAATTATATAAAAAATACATTAGCAGTAATAACAAAAAAATAATTTTCGGGATTATCACCTGAACAGAAAAATACCATAATAATAACAAAAAAATGATTTTCGGGATTATCACCTGAACAGAAAAATACCATAAGACAAACATGTAACCCAAGTAATCCTGGAAGCTGATCTAACGAATATGCAAAATACTTAAAAGGAGAATTCTTAGGATATAAAGTCTTGACATTCTCAGATGAACAAAGAAGAAAAATTGCATCTCAAGAAGCAAAACACAAAATAACATCTTTAAATATATGCAATATTTGTTACTTAAATGAATATAGTTGTGATTATTAAAAATTTTTCTATGCAATATTATATGAAGAAAAATAAGCAAATTTAGATATATATTTCTATAAACTACCAGAATCATATAATATTTTACGGAGTCAAGAATTCAAACAAATATATCCTAATAATACATGTTTAGGAAGTCGAAAACAATTTGCTTTAGAAAAATTAGCTGAAGCCTGCCAACAAGTTGATTTATACAAGAAAAATAAACAATATAAGCAATCTCTGTGTTGTGAAAAATCTGACTTAATTCCTCAACAATGGGGATGTTCATTACATAACACCTGTGAGTGTTCTGTAAAAAAATAAAGAGAAAAAATTCTTCAGAAAAATAAATAAAAAATATTATAATCCTAATAAAAGAACCTTTAGACGAAAATAAAATAATACAAAAAACAAATAAATTAGAAATAATAAATGTTGGATATGTAAACAAGAAGGTCATTATGCAAATAATTATCCTCCGAAAACTAAATTAAGTCATGTAAAATCTATTTCAATAATAAATGAATCCAATCTTCAACCCATTTTTGATTTATCAGAAATAGATAGCGAAGAAGAATTATTCGAATTATCTAATACTAAAAAAAATCTTATAACAAATCTTGTTATAGCAGAGTAGAATAATTCTTTCTTAAGAAATTCTCATAAAGAAAAAAGCTCAAGAATGACTATAAGTGAATTTACAAATTACTTTGATTTAATAAGGGCATTTCTGTGCTGAGAGAGGTCAATATGTTTCTAAAAAATTTGATAAATGCAGTGTGCGACATATACTGTCCAATATAGAGGTCTTCTCCATCAACTTATTCTCAGCTGTCCTATAGGCCCTAATATTCAAATGCTCTCTAGTATCATTTATCACTCCATCAAATAATCCAAAAATTTACTCGAAATCTTCAAGTGATTAGATGCTTTTATAGAGTTCAAATAGAGAATAATTATCATAATGTTGATCAAACTTCTATTATTTATATCAAACCACCCATCAGACATGATGATTACTACAGTTTGACTCCCCATCCATTTAATCTTTTCAATGTCTTTTTCTGTAATACTCGTCTACTTAAACACCAGTGTCCTCACTTCATGTACGAATGGAGATTCAAGTCTCAAATATAGGCAACTTTGGAATTGATTATACTAAAATAAAAGGGGAGGATGCCATATTGAATGAAATGAAATTCTCATAAAATAATCTCTCAATATTCATGCAAACACATTTGTGTTCCTAACTAAGATGCTCTGGAGACATTCTCCGAGCAGCAGATGCCCTCTCTTCATGACCCCATATTATCCATCACTTCTACTATATAGCGGTTTATGAAACCTCTAGCACCTCAAGTAGATATTGATGGCAAAGATGATGAGTGTCTATCAATGTGATCAATCCCATAACAAAAGCCCAGCCACATGAACAATGAAATTCGTTTGCCTAGGTAAATCATATGTTCGTCAAAGAAAAACACCATCCTACATTATGCTCGAAGCAATGCTTTGAAGTGAGCAAGCTTGGCTCCAACTTAGGGCTCCCCGCTCGGTGCAACCCATCGATATGACAATCAGCCCTTTACCATGTAGATGCTAACGTCCACAATAAGAAATGGACTATCAATAATTGTACCACACAATGAAAATGCCCTATAGCATATATCCCTCAACCTATGAGCCTTAGAATGTATTCCGCACAGGTGACCTTAATCCTATCTCAAAAATTTCATTCGATATGGCCATCAAATAAGAGAATCGTATATTGATACCTCCAACTACAATCAACAATGTGCTATGCCTTTGCATTAACTTCGACATGAATAAGACAAGCATGATACGCTGAACCATTAGTGTTCATATCCTTGAAGCTCTAACCATGATTAGCCATATTGGTTCTTTTAAACTACTTTTTGATAGTTAGACCCTTCAACATACTGCAACATATTTGCTAGACATATCCAATAAGGGGCAACCCATTGCAATTGCAGATTTCTAACCTTCCGTTATAAGTAAATTGGTTCAAGTTGATTGACTCCAAATGATAGAACCAGAAAATTTTAATCAAATTAACCATCCGTCCCTGTCCATTCCTTTACATATAAATCCAAGACATTCTAATTGATGGTGTTCTCAAACAATGAGCTACAGATAAAATAATCATGGGAATTGAGGGCCATGAGAAACCTTAATCCTCTGTAATTGAAAAACCCCGATCAACCACATAAACAAACCATGAAAAGCCTTTGGAACCCTATTTCTGTTTGTCTTTTAAAACCCCACATTACTTGGTTTTCTTTGCTCAAAATTCTAGAAGAAGAAGAAATAATTGAATTGCAATATGAACTCATAAGTCACAAATGCCTTTCAAAGCTCAAAATTAATATAGCATTCAAGGTGAAGTTTTGTGGTACATTATAATAGCTAAACAAACAAAAAGATTAAAAAAGACTACATATATGATGATAAAATCTTACTTTCAGGGATTATTCTGAAATTTCAAGGCGTTCTAGGGAACAATGTGGAGGAATAAACAACAGCCCAATGTAAAGCACACTGTATATCGCAAGAGCTAATATGTAATTAGCATCGCATAAAATCTGGGAATGAAACCTTTGCCCGTGAAATTGGACTAGAGAAGCAGATATCAAACTTTATGTTGACCAACGAATCACGGCATTTCTCTGCCTGCTTGGCACCAATTTCAGTTAATACAGATAAGTTGGAGCTTCCCTGGATGTAAACAGTGCTTAGATCAGCAACTTCTCAAAATAAATAAATAAATAAATAAATAACTCAAGGGTGTCCATAAATCAATCAACGGTCATCAAAGATAAGTAAAAAAGCACAAGAAAAATGTCACATTATCGATCAAAAAAATGTAGCTTGTATGAGGTATCAAGTTAATCCAATAAAATCTAAGAATAGAATTATTACTTGTTAGCAGAGAGAAAATATAGGCATGAAAAACCCCAGATTCATGGCTTCCTTCGCAGCAAAGTTCAAATATATTTTCTTAACACCGACTAAGCCTTAACATGAGAGTTTCCAATACTAAAATAAGTAAGTGTAAACATTGTTTGTGCCAATTATATTTAGTAATTTACTTTACTTAAGAATAACACAAAAAAGAAGAATGATGATACAATGTTTACAGCAAATGTTCCAACAAATTATAAAAAGCTAATAATTTCATAGACAATCATCATCATTACGAGCCTTTTCACAGCTATTAGCGTCAAAGATGTTAAAATAAAAATAGTTTGGAGAAGTTAACCCAAAAGAAAGGTTAAGTCCATTAGTGATAATGATATTTGAACAAATGTTAAATGGCAATGATTGGAAAATGTTGGCCTATCTTTTAACATATTTTGTGGACGTTTCTTAATAAGCCACAAAGAATAGCAGAAGTTCGCAAGATATTCATGTTGTAGCCCATGTCAATATTTTGAGCAAATAGGTTGAATGTCTTTTCCTTTGCTTTCATTCCAATAAATAATAGTCTTAATCTATTTTAGGTAATCTATTTTAGGTACATAATATTCTGTATAATCTATTTTAGGTAACTTAATTGATAATATTCTTAATCTAAACATTCAGCTAAAAGGAAAGAAGTTTGTGCAAATATAATATTTCCTTCTTTGTAGCATTGCGAAGAAAGAAAATATTTATTATGTCTGATATCCTTTATTCTTGATTGATATCCCCCCTCAAATTGATGTTGCCGACAAGAAACTGATGACGCTATCGAGAAAGAGTCTTAGTAAATATATCAGTCGTTTAAAGATCAGAAGTGATATGAGGAAGAGATATAACACCATCCTCATAGGCTTCTCGAATGAAATGAAAGTTCACTTCAATGTGTTTCGTGCGCTCATGAAAGACAAGATTAGCAGGTATCTGGATAGCGCTAGTATTATCTGTATGAAGAGAAGTAGACTCAAGCTGAGGAAAACCAAGCTCAGTCAGCACACCCCGAAGCCAAATGATCTCGGAACAAATAGAGAACATAACGCGATATTCTAATTCAGTAAATGACTTAGACACTCAATGTTTCTTGCTCTTCCAAGAGATTAAAGAGTTGTCGAGAAACGTATACCATCCAGTAATAGATCGGCGTGTATCAGAACAACCAGCCTAATCGGCATCACTATAGGTTGTTAAGATGTTAGGAGACTCCGCAGAAAAGAACAAACCATAATGAGAAGTACCTTCAAATACCGAACAATACGTCGAACTGCAGCTAAATGAAGATGTGTAGGTGCTTATATAAATTGACTAACTTGTTACACAACAAATGAAATATCAGGATGCATAATAGTCAGATAATTGAAACTCCCACCCAATTGTCGTTATAGAGATGGTTCAGATAGAAAGTCATTATCATTCTGTTGATATTTAACATTTACTTCCAGAGAAGTATCAGCAGAACGACCATCTTGATGACCAGTCAAAGTAATGAGTCTCCTCGTATAGTTGTAACATTTACTTCCAGAGAAGTATCAGCAGAATGACCATCTTGAAGACCAGTCAAAGTAATGAGTCTCCTCGTATAGTTGTGTTGATGAAGAAAAATACCAACGAGAGAAGAGTGAACCAAGTTAATGACCCCAAATCTTTCATATGAAAAGAACCCTGAAGGCGTTTTTGTAGTTGACACATCAATTGATGACAATATCATCAACATAGACTAATAACAAAATAATTCTCTTATCAGTCTTGCAAAGAAATAATGATGAATCATACTGACTTTGAATAAAAGAGAAGCTAAGAAGTGTATTGCGAAACATTTCAAACCAGACCCGTGGAGTCTGTTTCAAACCGTCTAGGGACCGTTTGAGCTTAAAAACAATGAAGGTGTATAAAACAAGCCTGAAGAAGTCATATAGACATCTTCTTTGAGATCCCCATGTAATAATGCATTGTTAACATCCATCTGCTTTAACAACCAGCTTTTAGATGTAGCAATAGATAATACCAGTCGGACAATAATCGTCTTAGCCACAGGTGCAAATGTTTCTTCATAATCAATCCCGTATTCCTGTCGATTGTCAAGTGCTACCAATCTTGCCTAATATCTATCAAGAGAGCCATCAGATCGGAGTTTAAGAGAGTAAAATCATTTACAACCAATGGGTTTAACACTTGTAGGACGTGAAATAATATCCCAAGTGTGATTTTCTTGAAGTGCCTGAAGTTTGTCTTGCATAACTTTAACCCAGCGGCTCTGTTTAGCAGCCTGAAAGTAAGAGGTAGGAACAATAGTATTAGTTAAAATTGCAGAATATCCATATCTATCTGGAGGACGGATACGTCGGGTTGATCGTCGAATAATTGTTGGTGCACTTTTAGGATTAGGGTCGGGGAGGATTGAAAGTGAAGTGGGCATGCGTCGTGTGTAGACAATGTCCGGCTTGAAACTTTTATCAGCAGAAGAATTATCAAATTGTGAAAGTATAACTGTATTTTGTGTCGATACATGATGCTGAAAGTAATATTCATGTTCAAAGAAAATCATATTTTGAGAAATATGTCATCAACTATTAATCGAATCATAGCACACAAAACTTTTATGATTAGGATTGTACCCCATAAAAGCACATCGTACTGACTGAGCTGCCAACTTATGACGTTCATGAGCAGGTAGATGAATAAAACAAACTCATATGAAAGTATGCATCATATAATAATTAGAATGTTTATCAAAAAGTCGATAGTAGGGAGACTCATACTTCAATTATTGAGATGGTAAACGATTAATAAGATAAATTGTAGTTGATAAAGCTTCAGTCCAAAATTTAGCTGGAACAGAAAATTCTATCAGTAATGTGCGCATAGTATCCAACGCACAGTATCTAATAGATGTCGATTTTTTCATTCAGCAACTTCATTTTGTTGCGGTGTATAGGGACATGAACTTTGTGAAACAATACTTTTGTTAGGGAGAAATTCTTGAAACTCATGAGACATGTATTCATCGCTATTGTCAGATCGTAAGGTTTTAATGCAAGCGGAGAACCGAGTTTCAACATATGCTAAAAATATTTGAAATGCAGCAATACTTCTGCTTTGGAACGCAAAAAATAGATCCAAATAAATCGACTATAATCATCAATAAATGTCACAAAATATCTATATTGAGCATTTGAAATAACTGGCGTAATTCCCCAAACATCACTATGAATAATGTCAAAACATTTATTGGCATGACTGTCTGAAAAAGGAAAATGTAATGTCTTAATTTTTCCAAATTTACAAGCAGAACAGTCAACTACTAAACTATTATCTGTAGAATAAAGAACAATTTTAAGTAAATGCTTCAACACCATATCTAAAAGTTGACTATTCTGTAAATCTGGTAGCATAGAATTCAAAAAACAATCTAAAAAGAATTGTTGTTGATCGAAATCAACCATAAATCAAAGAAAGCCAAGATATCCAAAGATATCAAAAAAAAAAATCTCAATCGTTGGTCTAAATCAACCTAAAAGATTCAAAAAATCGTGCCGAAAAGATTCAAAAAATAGTGCACTGCCTTAAATTAGGAGACGAGTCCAAAGCCAAAGCAGAAACCCCAGATCCTCAGAGTGCCACGACCTAGAAAGTATATCGGCGTTGAAATACGCCGAATATACCAAAGTCAAAGATACAGATGCGAGAGCCAAGAGGAAGCAGTCGAGCGGTCGAGCGGTCGAGCGGTCGAGCGGTCGAGCGGAAGTTCGGTCAGTCGAACAGAGGAAGCGGTCGAGCGACAGCGGCAGTTCGGGAACAGGGAAGCGGTCGAGCGGTAGCGACAGTGCGGGAATAGAGGAAGCGGTCGAGAGGTAGCGGCAGTTCGAACGGTCGAGCGAACGGCACAGATGAAGCAATTAGGACGAACAGGACGAGCTCTCCAGGCGAAGCAGACGACTCCAAAGATTCAGATGCTAAATATTCGACGTGGCTCTGATACCATATCAATATTTTAAGCAAATAGGCTGAATGTTTTTTCCTTTGCTTTCATTTTAATAAATAATAGTCTGTACAATCTATTTTAAATACATAATATATTGTATAATTTATTTTAGGTAACTAAATTAATACATATTCCTAATCTAAATATTCAGCTAAAAGGAAAGAATCTTGAATCTAGTGCAAATATAATATTTCCTTCTTTGCAACATTGCGAAGAAGGAAACTCTTTATTCTGTCTGATTTCTTTTATTCTTGATTGATAACCCAATATGTTGTTGGCATAAAAAATGTGGCTAGTAATTAGTACTTATAAGCAACAAACCTGAATTCTACTTTCTTCATTCCAAGAGCTCAATCCATGCCTCAGCAAAGTCACCCTTTTTGAAGAAGACAATAACTCATCACTAAGTGATGTCGCTCCTCTGAAATCATATGCACCACCAGTCACTGGAAAATGAATCTCAGTTCCGTTTCGTGTTGGAACATTGTTGATACTATCTTGAGCTACAATTGTAAGTCTTCTCATCTGTCCTGCACAAGGAAAAGAAGAAACAACTGAGATGCCAATTTCGCTAAATAAGTATAAAATTTCAAATATGCATGGGAAGCAGATGAAAACCAATAAGAAAAAATATGTATTAAATTTTTCAATTCAATGTGTTCAAATATTGTTGGCGATGAAAATTGGCATAGCTAGAATCATTTTTTAAGCTAAATCTTGCATCATATACAACTCAAGAGAAATAGCATGCAGATTATTAAAAATAACTGATTACCTGAAATCATATTCAACAACCAACTGCTATGTGTGAAGAAAAGAGTCTAGTTGGAGGACGCAACAAAAGGGTCATATAAGGAGATGAATTCATGGCAATGTTTTTTTTTCCAGTACTTTGAAGATGCTTAAGACTTCTGTAAAAATGGGCGAGGATGCATAGATCCAGATTATGGTTGTCATTTAAATGCAAACTAGTTGCATTGTATCACTACTTAATTCTTTAGTGACCCTACAATGAGGACAGTTATGTTTTTTTTTTTTTTTTTTGGCTCAGTTTGGAACATTTGCATAATGTACGCACTTGAGCTATATATGTAAAATTGCCCACACTGTAGCTTACCAAAAATGATGCTTAGTTGGAAGAAGTAGCTTCAACAAACTGTAGGAACAAATCTCACAAACCACAAGCTGGAAAACCAGTTTTTGTCATGGTATCGAGTACACTAGGGAAGATCTGTTAACCGTGGCATGCTATACATACTATGCATTTGGTAATTTTATAAACTTAAAACTGGATCCAATGGACCATCCACTTAGATTTTGGGAGCTGCTTACAGAGTCAGTTCGTGGTAGAAAGCATACGTTCGTCCTCCCAGGTGTTGTTTGGCTTACCACATAGAAAATACAGTTTCATTTAAGCCACAACATGGTTAAAGTTGATTTAGTTGAATATAATGTGCTAGGGAAACAAACTATGAAGTCAAATAGCTTTATTTCAACAAACGGAGACCCAGAAAAAGACCTCCTTCAGGCTGAAGGCAAGTTACTTCACGTGCAAATGGATAAACATCCAACTGCAACTCAGAAAAACTGTATAGCCTTAAAACGTGAGTTGTTATTTAGGCAACAAAGCATAGACTTTGGCCCCCAAAAGCTTGGATTAACCTCTCAATTACTGTACATAGCCTAATAACCGTAAAAGCTCAAAACGATCGAGCATCAAAAACTACAATCCACAAAAGCTCAATTGAAGTTGTATCAGCTGAGCATAGCTTGAGTCAATCCATAAGAAACCAAGTATAGCCTAAGGGTCTCAAAAAGTATAATTGGCCTCTCAAAAATTGCATGGCCTAAACTCCACAAAAGTCAAGTCAAACAAGTAAAGCCTCCACACCCCAATAGATCGGCTATAATCATTCTGATCGGACAAAGTTGGATGGCCATAGAGCATAGACTTTGGCCCTCAAAAGCTTCAATGCAACTCATGTTTAAAAATATTATTGAAAATTCTTATTAATTTTTTCATCAAGTTTGAGCCTGATGTGTAGCATGCCAATAATTTAATCGAATAGTATTATTACTAAAAATAAATGTATTCATAATTTTTGAATAAAAAAAGCAATAATTCACTTCATTATTTCAAATTATAAAAATAGGAAAAAATGACTTTTTTTTATTCATATACTTATCCCAGAAATATTTTCATTATCAAACTTAAATTAAAATATATATATATATAAGTTTTAATCCATTAATTGAACTATTTCAAAATTTTCAATATATAGTAATATAAAAAAAAACTTCGAAAGTATATACAAAAGAAGAAAAAAATAAAAAATATAAAATAATTTAACATAAAAAAAAGGTTCATTTAATGTAGCTTTTGCTATTACTTTTGTAGTAGGAAAACAACTAAGGAAATAAAGAAGCTTAGAAAAAGAAGTATTTTTATGGACAAAATTAGAAGATACCTTTTTGGCCTTTAGTTGGTTCACATTAGCTATTTTGGGAAAAAGATTTAAAAATAATAATTAAAACTCTGCTTAAAAATTTCTAAAACAAAAATGAAAAATGTAAGTTGGCCACACACCCAAATGCACGCAGACCGCATATGCATGATTTTAAACTCAGAAAATCTTGGATGAAAAACAAAACTCTCAACCACTAGGCTGGGATGGCTTGCATAAAATAGAATTAAATAAATATTTTAGCAAGCTGCTTATTAACTATCAGATAAATATTAAATATCAGATAAACATTCTTACCAATGTACATGAAAAAGCAGGGCAATGTTTAAGCTTAGTCATTTCTATTTCAAACTTTTAAAATTTTATTAAAGCTTGTTCAATGATCAAAATAATGAACATAAATTAGCCTATGAATGAATATTAATTTGTTCATCAAGTATGCTAGTTCACATACATCTCTGCTTGAAATAATAATGCATAAGCCCTTAATGTGTCATGCATTATTTAAAAATTTGTGCAAATTAAAAAAAAAACATTAAAAATCGAACAATATAAGAGAAAAAATATCCTTAAAAAACAAAATATCATATAAAGAAAATATAAAGTTTCTTTAACATAAATGAAGGCAAAGGCGAAGCTACAGTGGGAGCTCTGAGAGTAATACCCCATTGGCCTTACTCTTAATTTTTTTTTTATATAAAATCCTAAATCCCGCCTTCCTTTCTCCATTTCTAATCTCATATAAACAATAGGAGTTGTAGTGTTGCATCACGAGCTCCGCCGCCACCCCTACATGTGAGTCTCAATTTCTTCTTCTCCTCCTTGTTCCTCCAATCTTTCATTTGCTGGTAACTTGTTTGGGTAAGACGTGTCATAGAAATATCTTATTTTGAAGCTGGAGATTTACTTTATTATGTCTTGTTTTCTATCTTCTATTAAAATTGGACGATGGATTTCATTATTTCGTAGCTATGTGATGGATAAAGGTTACAATTATGCGGTTCATGCCTGTTTTATAGAACAGTATTTCAATGTAAATATCAGAATTTGAAGGAAAAAAAAGAGTACTAAGTCTTCCAATCATTTTTTTTTTCTTTTTTCCTTTTTTTTTTGTTGCCAAAATTCAATGAAATGAGTGAACATAAATTTTTAAACCCGAACTTGGTTTTATGGTATTATGTCATGTTTAATTTTAGCTATTTCCGTTAAAATTTTCTAAAAACAGTTATGTTAATGTAACCATTTTTTCAAGTTATTTGCCTGTCTATCCTGTTTGTTGTTTCTGTGTAGTCATTATGTAAATTGTGGCTTGTCCAAATATGTGAATCATTTTTCTTTCAGAAACATATGCATGCTTAGCATTTCTTGTTAGTTAACAATTGTCTTATCTAGAGTTTTTTATCTCAGCTCTTTGAATCTTCAGCTTCAAAATAAAAGTAGAAATTATAGAACACATTTTTTATACAATTTTTCATTCCAACATATATCTATCATTTCTAAATTAAGATGTCAATTAAGAAAATTTAAAAACCATCAATATTATGATCAGGCCTGGATGAAAAAGATTAAAAATAATTTGTGCCTTCACTGACGCAGGAGCTTGGGGATGAACCGGCCCCGGCCGGTTCAGGCAAGAGAAGGTTTGCTCCAGCAAGAGGCTAGGCCAAACCCCTCCTCCTTTTCATTGGGCGGGAATTATTTCCCCCTTTCTTGTTTTTGTTTCCCACCTATTCATCTTTCTATTTATAAATGTGTTTGTTGTCCTAGGGTAGTTTTTGACTTCTTATTTTTAGGTTTCTGTTCAATTTGTCGTCAACATCTATTTTTCCCTGCTAGGGCTATATCTGAAAGGTGAGGAGGTGTTCCGACTGTCACTCGTCTAAGGTGGGGATCTTCTCCGAAAGTTTGAGGAGTGCTTTGAGAGTAACTTGATCCAACGTGGATACTTATCTTCCCTTATTCCCCTCCACCATTTCCCCCTCACAAGCTCTCAACCAGCCACCCCTGATTCCCCTTCCCGTCGAGCCGCTGGAACTCCCAGAACCCCGCTGCTTGTCGCGCTCATCTCCTAGATCACGTTTGCATGCTGGTTGGCCGTCGTTCCTCCCTCCCATGACTTCCTTCCTACTCGCCTCCTCGTGACCATTCCAGTCCTCCCGATACCACCACCATGTCGTAACACCCTTACTCCCCTTCTTACAAAAGTCTGTCATGAATTCACCCCGCCTATTTCGACCCCAATCCTCCTGCCACCTTTCAGTCGCAGCCTTCCCTCGGCCAACCAGTGACCCTTCCCCTCCAACCGCAAACTCCCATCCTCCAGCCGACTGCTTCAAGCAACACTCTACATCCCTTTCCAACCACCTCCAACGCCCCGCTGCTGCCATCTCAATCATAGCCCACCACTTCGCCCTAGCCCTAGAGTGCTCAGTTGTGTTGTAATGTTATTTTTAGATTGTCAGTGTCGTTGTAACCTATTTAAAATTTTTCAACAATAATATTTTGTTTCTATCGTGATTTGGGTTAACTCCGGTATCAATTGCTATCAGAGCTAGCCTAACCAGTCCTATCCTAAGGTTTCCTAGCATCTGCCTTACCCCTTCATCAAAAAAAGTTTCTTTCTTACTCTCAAACTATGGCCAAAACTTTGATCTAATCATAATTTCCCCTAATCAGCAACCTTAAATCATTTTTTTACCCTCCTTCACCTCCCACCCCAAACCCTAACCATGCCACAATAAAGATATATGCTTGAGCCTACAATAGAAGATATACATTGAGAGATCTACTGACTTCAGCGGAGATTGACGGACATTGAGTATGACACCCCGGAGGGACTTACCCTCGATGGTAACAGGGAAAGTGAAAGAGGAGAAGTGATGAAAATTTCAACCCCTTCAATAGGGAGGATTTTAGTGATAAAGATGAAAGGCCACAACATTTCGGAATCCAGTATCAGAGGCCTGCAAAGGAGATATCAGTTCGAAGACACAAAGACTATAGAATCAAGGTGGATCTACCAGAGTTTGAGGGAGGTATGGATGTAGATGAATTCATTGATCGGA